TATACATATATATATATATATATATATATATACATATATATATATATATATATATACACATACATATGGGCGGCTGTGGCTGAGTGGTTAGAGCAGTCGTCCTCCAATGCAAGAGTTGGGGGTTCAAATCCACCAGCAGTCACATGCAAGTGTCCCTGGGCAAGACACTGAACACCTCGTTGCCTCCGATGCGTGTCCCATCGGTGTATGAGTCACAGAAGCCCGACCCCAAGAGGGGCGGGGTGCTGGGCAGCCACATGATGCTCAGCTCTGTCAAAGGAAAATGTTATTCAGCTGCAGGAAGATGCCGAGAGACGGCATACATCCATTCATCCATCTACCTGTCCATCCACCATCATCATCCACCCATTCTTCATCATCTATTCATCCATCCTTCATCCATCCATTATACATACATTCATCATCATCCATCCATTTATCTATCCATCCCTCCCTTTTTTTCCTGCTTCTTCTCTTTTGAGTCACGGGGGTCACTGGTGGCCATGTCCAGTCATCACTGTGCGAGAGGCGGGGACACCCTGGACATGTCTCCAGTCTGTCACAGGGACACACAGAGACAAATGAGACAACCATTCACTCTCTCACTCACACCTAGAGACAATTTAGAGTTACCAGTCTAACATGCATGTTTTTGGTCTGTGGGAGGAAACCAGAGTACCAGGAGAAAACGCAACACGGAGAGAACATGCAAACTCCACCTAGCAAGGCCCCTGGCTGGCCAGGATTAGAACCCGCGACCTTCTTGCTGAGAGGTGCCAGCTGTACCAGCTGAGCCACCATTCTGCCTTGTATACAATCAGAGTTTATTGTTTGGGTTATTAGCTACAGAATGTTCATATTTGTCTGATGTCCAAATGTCTAAACTTTCACTGATTTTTGTCAAATGAACTCTTCCTGTTTTGACAAACTACACTTTGCCAACAGTTTTATTATTAAAATGTGGACGTTTCTTTTTTCACCCTATGAGTCTCACTTACCTTCAAATACCTGCGAATGCAGGTGCATACATCCAAACTCACAATTCCCTTTGTATTTGATCCCAGAATTTTCTTTTTAAAATGGTAAATAAAAGGTTTTTGTACATTGTCATATTTCTTGCATAACACAATGTAGACACAAAAATGAACAACCAAAGCTCTCTTACACTTCAGGGTTTGTCACACAGTGACTGGTTTTTTTTTTTTTTTTTTTTTGGAGTTTAGCTTGATTCTAGTCTGCCTGTCTCATTAAGAGTGCTGTCAAGGGGTGGCAGACATGGTGACACTGAGCCACCACCAGCAGCTTTAACGTGTTTTGGTCTTGGTTCTTTTCCCACTTTCTGTACAGTTTATACACATCATAATGTGTGTCTGTGATTTCATGCTGTAGTTGGACCCATCAAAATGTCTTCAGAAACTTTCTGCTTCAACTCTATCTTGACTTCCTCTTTAGGGAAGAAGCTGTCTGATTTGGAGCGAGTCACCTCCCTGAAAGTTTACAACTGGTTTGCCAATCGTCGCAAAGAGATCAAGAGACGGGCCAATATTGGTAATGAGTACATTTCAATTCGTAAATATCAGACTCTGCTGCTATCCTTATTACTGTTAATTGGGTTGGGAACCACTGGTTTAGGTGAACTGACATTTGACATTGTTAATTTGGCACTGATTATTTTACCTCAACCTCAACATTTTCATTTCTGCCACTTCCAGTTCTTTCTCCTGTCTTTTTGTCGATGCCACTGTCTCCAGACCGTACAACATAGCTGGTCTCATCACTCTCTTGTAAACTTTCATGTTTACATGTTCCCGTTTTAGTATCTTACACCGTTTTATAATGTAGCATGTTTTTTTTTTTTTTAATCCCTTCTTTTATATACTTTTCATTTTATATCCTTTCATGTGAATGTTTATTGTTGTGTGTACCCCATTTATGGTTTTTGTTTAAAACAGGTCTCTCTTGTAAATTAGTCCTTGTGACTCGATGAGACAAACCTATATAAATAAAAGTTGAATGAAAAAAATTGATCACAAGTCTAATAATCCATCCTCTTCTTCTAAGAAGCCACAATCCTGGAGAGCCATGGGATAGACGTCCAGAGTCCGGGGGGACACTCCAACAGTGATGACATTGATGGGAACGACTTCTCAGATCAGGTAGAGAGAGGGACTTACCACCCAGACTTATTGTCCCCTTGTTTTACAAGTCTACTTCATCTTTTTTGTCTTGTCGCAGAGCAGCGGGGCAATTGAAAATACCATTCTTCTGTCTGTCTGTTTTATGTTGTGAGCATAATGACTTGAAAAATAAGTTAGGTACTGGCCTCCACATTGTAGTGTGGTTGCATCCAGGTGCAAGAAAGGTTTTGTTTGGCAATTGGGTTGCCAAGTCAAACTCCAAGATGTCCACCACCATATAACAGACCACCCTTATAATTTGAGGAAACTATGCTTTCTAGATTTTATATTGCTTAAAAGTGTGGTTTCTTCAAATGAATGGGGGGTACTAAAGATTAATCAGTGGGGGCCAAGGCCACCATTGACCACTCCTGACTCCTCTACTGCACCTGATGGTGGATAAAATTGCTCCCTCAGTCTGCCAGAATTTGTCACTCTTCTCTGCCTCGGATAAGAAAAAACATTTACCCCTCTGTATACACAGTGTGACTCCTCCCCACTTGAACATCTTGTACCAAAAACATTAAGGTTTACTCTCATTCCTTGTTCAATTCCAGTCCAGAAAAACATTCATCTCAAAAACTACAAACATTCATGATTCAAATCCCTCAGAGATGGGAAATTAGCATACTGCTTGTTCACTTTGTATCAAACTTATTTGTTTGTTTTTTATGGAGGAGTCTTTTCTGAGGCCATCGTGTCCAAGTTATGGACTCAGCAGAGCAGTTTTAGAAAAACACATTAATTTCTGCTAAACAAAGCATCACGTGACTTTTGTGGTTTTTTTGTTTGATGAAAAGTTGTGTTTACAACTAGAATCAGCAGATGGTGTTTTAGGAGTCAAACTGTGGCTTCACAGTGATGTTCAGACTGCTGGTTCCTTCTGATCAACTTTAAAAATGTTTTCCTAATAGAAAGCAAAGATTTTTTTACTCTAGTTAACAAATGCTCATTCACCTCTCTTTTTATTTTGGAGAGGTGAGATCAATGGAAAAACAGGAGTATTTAAAAAATGCATTTTGTCAGTTGACTGACTGTTTATTGAACTCTTCTAGGCCTGCGACCTTCCTTACTTTGACAAGAGACCCCTGAGCCGACAGTTTGGCCTTTACAGACTGGAGCCCACCTCACCAACGCAGGTACAACACAAACACATTTAATTTCAATTTCAATTGAGTGTATTTATATAGTGCCACTTCACAACAGAAGTTGTCTCAGGTCACTGTACAAAAACATTCATATACATAGAAAAGCCAATAAGGACAAGTTATCTATCTAAGGAAGCCAGCAGATTGTTTTGAATCTTCACTTTGTCACAGTCTCCCATCCTGAGTACAAAGGAGACAGTATAAAGTAATAAGACTCCCTTTTAACAGGAAGAAACCTCCATCGTTTAGTACTCCCTTCATATAGAAGGGGTAAATCACAAACAGGAACTCACTAGAATTGGCTCAGAGCAACAAGGGAGCAGATCTTAATGTAGCTCAAACCTTATTGGCTTAGAGCACATGTGTCAAACTCAAGGCCTGGGGGCCAAATGTGGCCCTCGCTGACATTTTCTCTGGCCCCCAAGATGCTATGTTAAAAGTAAAATACTTTTATCACTTGAATTATTTTAGTAATCTTTGATTATGATGTGGAAAGTACAGGTTCTTCTAAAAAAATTAGCATATTGTGATAAAGATCATTATTTTCCATAATGTAATGATAAAAATGAAACTTTCATATATTTCAGATTCATTGCACACCAACTGAAATATTTCAGGTCTTTAATTGTTTTAATACTGATGATTATGGCATACAGCTCATGAAAACCCAAAATGCCTGTCCCAAAAAATTAGCATATCATGAAAAGGTTCTCTAAACAAGCTATTAACCTAACCATCTGAATCAACGACGTAACTCTAAACACCTGCAAAAGATTTCTTAGGCTTTTAAAAACTCCCAGCCTTGTTCATTACTCAAAACCGCAATCATGGGTAAGACTGCCGACCTGACTGCTGTCCAGAAGGCCATCATTGACACCCTCAAGCAAGAGGGTAAGACACAGAAAGAAATTGCTGAACGAATAGGCTGTTCCCAGAGTGCTGTTTCAAGGCACCTCAGTGGGAAGTCTGTGGGAAGGGAAAAGTGTGGCAGAAAACGCTGCACAACGAGAAGAGGTGACCGGACCCTGAGGAGGATTGTGGAGAAGGGCCGATTCCAGACCTTGGGGGACCTGCGGAAGCAGTGGACTGAGTCTGGAGTAGAAACTTCCAGAGCCGCCGTGCACAGGCGTGCGCAGGAAATGGGCTACAGGTGCCGCATTCCCCAGGTCAAGCCACTTTTGAACCAGAAACAGCGGCAGAAGCGCCTGACCTGGGCTACAGAGAAGCAGCACTGGACTGTTGCTCAGTGGTCCAAAGTACTTTTTTCGGATGAAAGCAAATTTTGCATGTCATTCGGAAATCAAGGTGCCAGAGTCTGGAGGAAGACTGGGGAGAAGGAAATGCCAAAATGCCAGAAGTCCAGTGTGAAGCACCCACAGTCAGTGATGGTCTGGGGTGCCATGTCAGCTGCTGGTGTTGGTCCACTGTGTTTTATCAAAGGCAGGGTCAATGCAGCTAGCTATCAAGAGATTTTGGAGCACTTCATGCTTCCATCTGCTGAAAAGCTTTATGGAGATGAAGATTTCATTTTTCAGCACGACCTGGCACCTGCTCACAGTGCCAAAACCACTGGTAAATGGTTTACTGAGCATGGTATTACTGTGCTCAATTGGCCTGCCAACTCTCCTGACCTGAACCCCATAGAGAACCTGTGGGATATTGTGAAGAGAAAGTTGAGAGACGTAAGACCCAACACTCTGGATGAGCTTAAGGCCGCTATAGAAGCATCCTGGGCCTCCATAACACCTCAGCAGTGCCACAGGCTGATTGCCTCCATGCCACGCTGCATTGAAGCAGTCATTCATGCAAAAGGATTCCCGGCCAAGTATTGAGTGCATAACTGAACGTGATTATTTTGAAGGTTGGCATTTTTTGTATTAAAAACACTTGTCTTTCATTGGTGGGATGAAATATGCTAATTTTTTGGGACAGGCATTTTGGGTTTTCATGAGCTGTATGCCATAATCATCAGTATTAAAACAATTAAAGACCTGAAATATTTCAGTTGGTGTGCAATGAATCTGAAATATATGAAAGTTTCATTTTTATCATTACATTATGGAAAATAATGACCTTTATCACAATGTGCAATTTTTTTGAGAAGGACCTGTACACCAGAGAACATCAAATGAGACCAGTCAAACTCTTGTTGAGGAACATGGAACCAAGAGAAAATGTTGGGTATCTGACTTGAGTTAATGTAGTTTTTGAAATTGGCCCTTAGTTTGAACCAAGTTTTTAATGTTTGCCCCCTTTTGTAATTGAGTTTGACACCCCTGGCTTAGAGGGAACAAAAGAAAGCAGCATTTAAAGATATCTGCTCACTTCATATACTTTGTCCTGTGTATGAAGTGTTAAGTGTTATGCAACTGAAATTGTTGTAGAATCTACAACATTTGGCCCCACGTTGGGCGCCAAATGTTGTAGCTTAATCATTTCACACGTATTTTCAACTCCTCAGGAAGCAAGGGGCAAGCATCCTGTTAAATGATTAGGCTAATCACATTCTGTCATTTTAAGTAGATCATAGTTTATAGCTGATATATCTCCGTTATCACATTATCATATTATTGCAGTGTAGAACAAAACATAAAACCATGTATAAGGTTAATTTAATCTCACACTGTTCATGTATGTATGTTCACTATGTATATCCAATAATTTGACTGCATTTGTTTATTTGAGGAATTTCCTCAAACGGAGGTTTAATAAAATTAAAGTGTTATGCAACAGAAAATGTTGTAGAAGCTACAACACTGTAAATGACAAATAGGACTCAGTGTATATATATGAACTGATTCATACGTTGAACCTTTAGTGTCGCCAAATATAAAAACTGAGCCAGAGAAATCATATAATGGGGACCAAGAAAAGACCTATGGTTCTGAATGAGATAACCGGCTGTGCTGAACTATGTGAGGGTAGTGTAGCTCATGTACATGGACAGTGATGTGCAGTAGGAGTTCAAGGTAAGGTCAGGTCAGGTCTGAACCCAACTTTGTTGGGTGTGGTGATGGACATGTCTCTATGGACTATGATGTTGGCACAATGTCTGCAATGAAAGTAGGAAGCAGGTGGAAGAGAGCCTGAAGAGGTAGAGGTGAGAAGAATGGTGAATGTCAGGTGAAGCAAGACAGAATATGGGTCAAACATCCAAAGCAACAGGAAGTGCACAAGAGAGGATGAAGAAGAGTGCAGGCAAGGTGGAATGTTAGGGGTGATTTGTGTCAAATGGAGAGCTACAAGAGGAAAAACGAAGGTTTGCTCTAGTTCTGGGTCCAATGGCAGGTCAGTTCAGGCCCAGATCACATGTAAGCTGAGTCACTATGCTGTAAAGAGTGTTTACTTTTTAAAAATAAACGTTATAAGTGTTTTTGTGTGCAGTATGTCAGCATTAACACGCTTCAGTTATTCAGTTTCACATCAACGTTAGCACGTCGGCTAATGGCTAAATTTTTTCACAAGCTGTCCTGCGAGCATGAGCAATACAAAGTTAGAAATTAGGTGGTTTGGACATTCACAGAGGAAGGGCGGTGGACATTTTGGACAAACAATGTTGAATATAGGGCTCCAGGGCAGGAGGAAGAGGACCACCAAAGATTCATGGATACAATGAATGAGGGTTGGTGTGATAGAGGAAGATGCTGGGATAGATGAAGACCAGTCATCCTCAGTGTAGCAGCAGTTAGGGTGAAAGTTAGTTTGACGTTATGAAGGACTTAAGTTTTTCACAAGTTTTTAGGCAACTTGGAGAAATAAACAACTTCCTGCAGAAGGTAGAAAGTGTTCAATCAGATGTTTCTTGACTCTCGCAGCACAGTGCCATTACTGTACTACAAACCAGGTGGTGTATTCGTGATGAAGAACAGTTGTGGACTTCATTCACAAATTTATTTATTTTTTTTTCCTCCGACTGTGGTAAACCCACTCCCCTCTGCCTCTACCCCCACCCCTTTCTCCTGGCAGGACGACAGTGGCGCGCACAGCGAGCACCAGGACCCCATCTCTCTGGCCGTGGAGATGGCTGCCGTCAACCACACCATCCTGGCTCTGTCCCGGACCGGAGGGGTGCCCAACGACATCAAGACGGAGTCCCTGGAGGACGAATGAACACGGGGTTGGGGAGTGGGGGGAGTCAGACAGAGGAGGAGTTGAGAGAGGGGGAGAAGGAGTACAAGACGATGAAACAACGATCAAAATAATCCTACTTAGTAAACTTTCCAAACGTGTCCCTGAAGACTGCTTGTTTTCTCCTGACTCCCCCTCCCCACTCCTTCAGTATTGTCCATGTAAACAGTAATTAATCCCCCACCCCCAAAGTAAAAGAAAACAAGCTGTATTACTCTGCATATGACTCAGCCGGTGGAAGTGGCTCTCTGTGCGAACGATCCACAGAAAGGAGGAGGTAAGCCAGTCTTCAACCTCCCTCCGCAGGTGGCTCCGCCCCCTCCCCACCTCTTTCTTCACAGTATACCTCCTCTTCCTCTCCTTCTCCAGCCTGGTTGTCTGAGCTGATCCTCAGTCTCTCTCACCTCAACCTCAGAACAATGACCTGTACTGTACATAAGATCTATATATGGTTCTAATGGTTCTCAGTCCCGCTCACCTCATGGCATTCTACCTACCTGATAACCAACACCTCAACTCCAATGTCTTCATCGTGCAATCCGTCTGAAGAGCTGCCTCCAGAGAGCCTCCTCTTCCTCTCTGGCAGCGGACACATTCAGCAGGAATTAGCTGGGCCCCGTCAGGTCCTCAGTGGGAGGGGTCTCTTTGTTTTGTCTCACAGTCTATCTGCTGTTTTCAGTTGAAGAATCAAACCAAGGACCAGTTTGTGAAGATCTGCTAGAAGAAGTAGCCTTAATTTTGCTGGTCTTTGTTCCTTTGCTTTATCGCAGTTTGAGGGAGGTTTTAATTTTTATTTCCTTCCTGAGCCATAAGCGCACAACAAAACATTTCCTGGTGGATTAAAACTCAACAGATTGTTGATCCAGCAGCAGCTGCTGCAGTTTCAGCTCAAGCTTCAGAGTAAACATCACCAGTTGGAACAGATGTTTCCTGGAGATGTTCTCGTTCAGACCACGAGTCTTCGAGGATCGTTTATGATCAGGGCAGTTCGTGTGTTCCATGTCGTCCACGCCAAAGGAATCATGTCGTCGGTCTGAGAATGGCCTTCAGGTGAATCCAAAGTGATTTCTTCCACTTCCTTCAGTGTGGTTTTTACGCTGTTTGGTGGTACAGGTAGGTATTTACAGGCACGCATTACTACGTCTGTCACGCTGCCTCTTTATAATAATCTGAGCAAAGTGCTTTTTATTTTATTTTATAGAGCAAGTATGAAACAGACTGAGTCCACACTGGAGATGTGAGCATATCAAAGAAGCTTTGCAGCAGATTGTTTCTTGTCCAAGTGTTGGAGACATCTGAGGCTCTGATACGTGTTCTCCTGCATTTTTTGGCAAATGGAAGTTCTCCAAAACCATCACTGACTGAACATGACGAGAGGAGCCTTTATTCAGGGTTTACTGAAACACTAACGACATCTGTGAGTTCAAAACGTAAACAGACTGGAGGATATTTTAACTATGTTCAAGTGTCTGTGGAAAAGTTATCAATAATTATCTTACCTGTCAGTTAAATTCTGAAAACTGATGAGCTAATGGCTAGTCTGAATGCAGCTTGGATCCAGATGGCTGCCATCTTTAAGCAGTTTTAATTGCATATGTTTTACAGCGATCAATACAAATTATTTTATAAACTTTTGACATCAGTTTTGTGTTACATGATTATCCACATGGAACAGCAGCAGCAGCTAGCTGTATTATCTTAACATGATTTTTTTCTGCTGAAATAATGAAATGTATCCATGTTTTTAAGTAATTTAAATGATCTGAGGTTTTAAAGCAGCTGTTAGCTCGTTGACCCAGTCACAACTAAGCTACTTTTTTAAACTGGGGATGTCCTAAGAGCTGTCTGCGACAGGTAAGATATTAACTGGTGGCAACGCTTCCACAGAACCACACTACAAAGTGTCTGAAATGTCTCTTTAACTAGTTTTCTTTACTAAAGGTCTGATCATATTCACGTGCAGATGGACAGACTGCTGGTCCAGCTTTGTCCAACAGAAAACCAGAGTACTAGAGTAGAAGTAAAATAAGTACTATAAATGTAGTGATAGAAGTACTAGAACAGTTGTACTATAGTACACACGGTCTTATTTTGAAAAACTTTATTGAGAATACAATTAGAAAATTAGATTTTTTTGTTGCTGTTTTGAAAGTATTACAAGAAGAGTGTAAAAATGTTTTTCTTCTGCAGAACATTTGACTGAACACTTATCAAATCAACTTCCACACTTTTCCAGACTCTTCAGAAGTGCAGTAAAAGTTAGACTTTAAGTTAATGTCAGACGCAGCAGCTGTCGGGACCTTCAAGACTTTTTATTTTCACTTCGTCACACCGACTTTAAACAAACGGTTTGACAGGAACATAAAAAGTCTGTTATTTTAAAAACTTTGTTTGCTAGCTGTTCCTCCTGTTTTTAGTCTTCATGCTCTGTTAAAGCTTAGCGCTTAGTTTTAAATAATCAGGTTCACGCGCCAGAACTCTAAACGGGAAGTAAAAAGTTTTATTTTGAAAAAATGCAGTCTGCTTTACTGACTGCACTAACACGGGCTGTGCTAACGTTCTAGCATTAGGCTAGCCAGGAGAACAGAACTTGTTAGGATTTAAAAATGTTTCAGGCCATGCTGGTGGTTTTGGAGAACCCTGAACTTGTCGGGTCAAAGTAGGACAGAAACCTTCTGGTTCTGGTTCTGGTGACAGTGTTGCAGGTTGTTTTACGGCCTGGTTAGCCTCAGTCCTGTCCTCGGCTCTAATAATAACACTTCAGTAGGAAGTAAGCTACGAAACAGAGCAGCTTCTCAAAGGAGAGTTTTAAAATATATCTGTATTTATGCTCATTTTTATAGTATTGTACAAAAAGGAATGTTTAAAGTCTAATCTGGTTTATTGTCAAACTAATTCTGCTTTTTAATTCCTCCTCTGTTATTTTTCTATTGTCGCGTAAACATTTTTATTGTCATCTGTCGTCGGGCTGAACCACAGTCTGCAGCTGAACGATGAACATGAAGCACCTTACGGGAACCAAGGTGACCGAGCTGGAGGTGCAGCGTGGCCCCCGAGCCGCACGTTTACCGTGCCACATCTCAGAAATCAGAGATTTACTGTCCAACCACACCAAATTACAAAACAGCAGCGGTCCCATTTTCACTGTAAGTCCTGGTTCTGTTCAGGGTCCGCTGCTCCACTGTGAGACTGAAGCCATGACCGATTCAGTTAAAGGGTTGGTTCAGCCATTTTCATGTGGTGCTTTGTTAAAAAAAATAAAAAAGGAGCTCTTAATATCTTGGTGTAAAGCCCCCAGTATACTCCTGTGTACGTCAATTCGCACTTACCGGATCATAGTCGAAGTGGACACCCGCGGGGCATGTCCACGCAAAGCTCAATTTTTACGTAGGCATACTCGGTGTCGCACAATAAACTGCCTGGCGATGGACTGTTTTGTATTCGACACCAATGTATTAAATTCCTTTTCTTCATCCCTGATGCTTTTTGTTTGTTTGCCAAAAGGCAAACAATCTCTTCCTCCTCTGATGCCATGACTGAAATGGTGAGAAATGAAGGAATTTGTCATGAGTGAATTAAACTCAGGTCCAGCATGGCTGCAGGAGGGTCTGGAGATTTCCTGGTGGGCTGGTCGGATGTGTGGGCTGCAGGGCCAGCGCTCCCTGTTTTTCTTTCTTTTCGAACTTTTTATTAACATATAAACACAGAACACCGCTGCCAGCTCTAGTTTTTTTTTGTTTTTTTCCTTTTTATCAACCTGTCAGTCATTCTAGTAGGCGTGTCAGCAAATGACCAATCGGCAACCTCAGTTTGTCCTGAAGGTAAATGCCCCTTGACTGTGGAGTTGCTTTGCAGCCGCTCGGGGTGGACGCTCGAGCATGAAGTCTCAACCCTCTGCGGACAGTGCGCACAGTTTCCGCGCAGCTGACAGGACGCAGGAGTATACTGGAGCCTTTAGTGTAGCTGGCTCTTTGAACAACCTCAGTTTGGAAAAATGCTATTGATCTTTTATGCTGCTCTTGAGCCAAAATGGCCCACAAAGCCCCACTTTTAAAACAAGGCATTGTAGGCCATTGTGACCCAAGGGCAGCATAAAGGACTGATGAGCTCCTGTCTGGGTCAAACGCAGTGAAGACCAAAGTGAAACTGACTGAAAACCACTCAGTCCTGATTAAACATTCTCCAAACTGAGGCCTTTCAAAGAACTATCTGCAACAAGTAAGATATTAACTGTTCATACGTGGTAACTGCTGAATGTCGTCATTGTTTAAAAACTACAATCAGATCAAATAAAAACATGACTGGAAATGAGGGATCAAAGGTTCCTAGTCGAGGAGCTAAATCCTGGATCAAAATCTTTCAGAGCCGCTGTGGTCCACTTAGACAGAACCGGGTCGAGTTTTGTGCATTCGAGCTCCACAAATTGATTTTAGAGTGAAGAACCTTAAAGTTCTCCTGAAGTGCTTACTCCAAATAATGACGGCTGTTTGATTCTGTCGGGGTGGACGTGTCATCAGCGATCATCCTCTTCACCCCTGTGTAGCTCAGAAAAATCAAAACAACTGAACGCCGTCATAAGGATCTCTGCTTCTGTTCACATTTACTGTATCCCATTTCAGAATTTAGTGCCTTTTTTGGACAGTAGACTGTTCTGTAATTAAGATGTAGTATATAAACATTATTTTGTACAGTTTCTTTGTCCATTTTTTAACTTTTGTTTATTTTAGTATGATATATAATTATATATAATGTACAAGAGAATAAAGCTATATCAATGATGGGTGTTTTGGTTTTTTGGGGGGGGGGTTTCTCGTACAAACAGTTCTGGGAGAAGATCCATCCTTTATTCTTAAACGTTTCTGCCAGCGGGACAGAATAAAGTGTTTTGTTTTTTTAATGTTTTACCAGGTTTACTTGTTAAACATGTAATGTATTAGTATACAAAACAGACAGCATGAAGGTAAAATGTGAAAAGTTTCTTT